GGGGGAGCGGAGGGGGAGGGGGAGACGACAGCGAAACACATCAAGTCAGGTGCTCACGGCGCCCGGCAGACTACTGAAGGCGCCCGGCAGACGGGTGCATCATCAGATCCCAGCAGAAGTCTAGGGAAGCGAGGCAGTCAGCCCATGTTCCATGGAGCTTCTCCACGCTCAGCTTCCCAGAGCTGAACTTCTGCTGTCTCTTTCCCATTGCGGCTCGGTCACTTCGGGGGACAAACAGCCGTACCCTCTAGCCCGTCTCCAGTGTCCTTACTCTTGGGGCGTTCTGCTGTTCTCTTCCCTGTCACAGAGTTGGGGGGCCTGGGAGACACTTTGAGACAAACATGCTTCTCCGTGAGCTCCAATAGTGGTTGACACTTTACTGATATCATATAGTGACACTTGTGGAATCTGCAGGGTCAACGGCACAGGTTGCCGCCCCCACGCAGTCTACCGGGGTGAGGGGGCGGTCGCATTGCATTCCTGGTCAGCAAGCAGAGAGAGAGGCGCGCTGGTGCTCAGCTGGCTTCCTCCTGTTTGGAAATTTTTATGTGTATGAGTGTATTGCCTGCATGTAAGTGCACCCATGTCATGCAATGCCCAATGGAGGTCAGAAGAGGGTGTCAGATCCCCTGGAACTGGAGTTATGGAAGTAATTAGCCACCATGTGGGTACTGGGAACCGAACCCAGGTCTTCTGCAGGAACAGCCAGTGCTCTTAACCACTGAGCCAGCCTCCAGCCCTGCTTCCTCCAGGACCCCCGTCTGTGCTGCCACCCACATTCAGGGTGGGACTTCTTAAGTTAATTTTACCTTTCTAGAAACACCTTCATAGACATACACACCCCAAGGCGTGTTTCCATGGTAATTCTAAATCTTATCTGTTCCTGGGATAAAATACTCTGACCAAAAGCAACTCAGGACAGGAAAAGGTTTATTTCCGCTTACACTTCCAGGCCTCAGTCCATCCCTGAGGGAAGTCGGGGCAGGCGCTCCAGCAGAAACCTTGAGGAGCACTGGCTCACTCAGCCTCTGCTTGGCTAGACCGCATGCAGCCCTAGCCGAGCTTCCCTGGGTTGGCACCACCCACAATGGGCCAGGCCCTCCTACACCAACTAACAATCATGACAGTCTCTCAAGACCAACCAGATAAAGATAATCGCTCTGTTGAAACTCCCTTTTCAGGTGACTCTCGTCTGTGTCAAGTTGAGAGTTTATGCTAACTAGAACACCTGTGAAGTTGACCATACACACTAACCATCACATCAGCCCTCTGGCATGTGGTCACCTTGAACCTTGAACTGAGGGACCTCCTGGCTGTCCCCTTCCTGAGGACTATCCCCCAGGACTGGGTCAGACACTGTTGGAATTTACTTCCCCCCTCCACAGCCCCTATGTTTCCTCGGGCCCTGACCCCAAGCCTCATCCTGGGTGCCTAGAGGTGGGAGTCCTCTCATCCTTACTGGGTGCCCAGGGTGGTACCCAGGAAATAATCTGCCACCCTAATTTCCCTATCCACCCACAGCATCCCTATAAGTGCTGACAGGCTGAGCAGAGGGTGCTCGGCTGTGACAGACAGGATGCCTTTCGCTGGCCTCTGAGTTGTGTGTATTTTCCGGACCTGACCCCTGCTGCCCCAGCCGCCTTAGCCCCCAGTCTGTACACCACACCCCCAGCTCCCAAGTCTCTCTCTTGCAGGCTGAGTACAGGCTATGCAATGGATCTGACAAAGAATGTGTCTCCCCAACGGCCAGGGTCTCCAAGAAGGATGCTCTCAAGGTAGGCCTGCCACAGGGAGGGGTGGGGGTCACTTCCCTGCACCCTCTTCTCTCCCTGTGCTGAGGGCTCTCCATGACCCGCCTCTCCTGCCCATCCCAGGCCCAGAAGGAGAGCTACCGGCAGGAAAAGAAGCGGGCCACGAAGCAACTGTTCAGTGCCCTGACGGACCCCAGTGTGGTCATCATGGCTGACAGCCTAAAGGTAAGCGGGTGTCACTCACAGTCTCTCCCACAGGCTGGGGACATCTGTGACACTCGAGAGACAGGTCCATGTGTTTGTCACTGCAAAGCTGTCTGATGTCCCTGGGCTGACCTAGCAGATGAGCACACACTGAAGCCATCTTCTCCAAAGTCAAGATGCTGTCCTCAGACCCACATTCCCCACAGGGCTCTGGGATCTTCCTCCTGCCTCTTGTCTCCTTCGGGCTCCTGTGTCCCTTTATTGTGGCCCCATCACCCCAGTCCCTGCCTCGTTTTTCTCTCTCCTGTAAGGACGCTGTCACTGGACTGGGACCTTCCATCCTTCTGCCACATGTGCCAAAAACCTATTTCTAAGGCATTCAGGGAGGGGCTGGCCTGCTGGCTTAGGTCAGAGTCCCCAGAGGGGTCGTCCCTCTGGCTTCCCAGCTGGGGTCACAAAGCTGAGTTCAGACCTTACAAAGGCACCCGGTTTCTGGGCTTCAGTTTCTCCTCCCTACAGTAGAGGTTGAACATCTCAACTCTGGGTCTACAGAGATAACAAAGTCAGTGTCCCAGGAGCCCAGCCTGTGGGGCTCCCCCTCCTGCACCTCAGAGCTCTGTGTAGAACACTGGGTTCCCACTGAAGATGAAGTTAGAGAAGACTTTGGTTTCATCATTGGTACATCTCACGATTCGAACAGCCAAGGCCCCCGCGGGTCCAGCCAAGGCCCCTGGGAGGGATTTGCCCTGATTTTGAACTTGCCCTGCCCTTACATGAGTCTATCTGGAGCAACCCTGTTTTTTCTCATATAACCACCATGCACATGCCTGTAATCCCACCACTTAAGAGACTGAGACAGGAGGACCACAAATTCAAAGCCAGCCTGAGCTACATAGCAAGACCCTGTCTCAAAAATAAGTTAAATAGGGACTAGAGAGACAGCTCAGTGGTTAAGAGCACTGGCTACTCTTGCAGAGGACCCAAGTTCGATACCCAGCACTCACATGGTGGTTACGAACCATTTAACTCCAGTTCCAGGGGAACCTGAAGCCCTCTTCTTTTCTTTTTTTTTTTTGGTCTTTTTGAGACAGGGTCTCCCTGTAGCCCCAGCTGTCCTGGAACTCACTACGTAGACCAGGCTGGCCTTGAACTCACAAAGATCCGCCTGCCTCTGCCTCCTGAGTGCTGGGATTAAAGGCGTTCACCACCACGCCCAGCTGGAGCCCTCTTCTAACCTCCTGGCATTACATGACAAGGGTGCCCTCACATACATGCGGGCAATACACTCGTACACGTAAAATAAATAAAATATATTTAAAAAATAAGTAAATAAGGGACTAGTGGTTAAGAGCACTGGCTGCTCTCACATAGGACCCGGGCTCGATTCCTACCACCTACATGGTGACTAACAACCATCTGTAACTCCAGTTCCAAGGGATCTGATGCTCTCTTCTGACCGACACAGATGCACTTACATGCAGGCAATATACTCATATACATAAAATAAAAATTATAAATATTTAAAAAATAAATAAACTAATAAAATCAGGCTGGAGCTGGAATTTAGTTGGTCGAGTATTGTCACAGTGTGCACGAAGCCCTGGGTGAGTCCCCAGCAAGACACAAAACAAGGCTTGGTGGTGCACGCCTGGCATCCCAACGTTCTAGAGGTGGAGGCTGGATGATCAGGAGTTGAAGGTCATCCTTGGTTACATAGAAAGTCCAGGGTCAGCCTGGGCTACATGAGACTATCAATAAATAGCTGGGAAAGGAACCCAGCTAAGCCACCTGTGGCTCGGTTTTCCCTTCTCCTAGTGGTACCAGCCTGCTGGGCACGCAGCACATATCCCTGGGAAGTCAGGGGAGGGGAAACCACCCCAGTCTTCCCCTACCAAGCTGTGTAGCTGGCCCGGAGGTAGCCTCCATGGGTGATCCTGACCACACGGCTCTTTGCAGATCCGAGGGACCCTGAAGAGCTGGACGAAGCTGTGGTGTGTGCTGAAGCCCGGGGTGCTGCTCATCTACAAGACACCCAAGGTGGGCCAGTGGGTGGGCACGGTGCTGCTGCACTGCTGCGAGCTCATCGAGCGCCCCTCCAAGAAGGATGGCTTCTGCTTCAAGCTCTTCCACCCGCTGGACCAGTCTGTGTGGGCTGTGAAGGTGAGCGGAGGGCGCTGGGGCGCCTGGGCAGGGGTGCGGAGCCAGCCACGGGGTTGGAGGCTCCTCCTGGTACCTGCTGGGATGGATGCCCCATGTGGTCGCTGGCCCTCCACTTGCTGCCCCCATGGAGGCTGCAGGGAGCGGGGACAGGGGGAGGGCAGAGCTCCATAGTACACCCCTCACCCCTGCAAACCCCAGTGTTGTCCAGTGGGAAGGGGCTATCTTTGGCTCAGACCTCACCCCTTCATTACCAGGGCTGCCAAGACGGGGCTGGGACTAAGGAAAACCCAAAGCACGGAGTTATATTTGGATTTCAGAGAAATGTCAGAGTTTTGGTTTTGTTTGTTGATGTTTATTGTTTGAAATTTTTGAGACCAGAGTCTCACTCTGTAGCCCAGTCTAGCATAGAATTAGCAACAGTCACCCTACCTCAGCCTCCTAAATGCTGGGATTGTAGGTGTGACATAACCATGCCAGGCTTGGGTTGGAGTTTTTGTTTTATTTTTTTGGCTTGGCTCAGTAGTTTTGAGACGTGGTTTTCCTCCCTCTGTAAACTCACTGTGTGTAAACTCACTGTGTGTAAACTCACTGTGTGTAAACTCACTGTGTGTAAACTCACTGTGTGACTCCGGGCTGGCCTGAATCTTGTGACTGTCCTTCTGCCCCAGCCTTGCAAATGTGGGGAATACAGCCTTGAGCTACTACGCCTGAGTTAGGTCACTTTTAAAATTAAAGTTCTGACTTTTGATGAATTTATAGCTGAATAAACCCACTGTAAGGTAAACATTCTGCCGGGCAAAAATGCATCTCACATGTCTGACCTGGCCCAGACCAGCCCACCTTCAACACACTGAGAGCATTCACATCAGCCCAAAGGTGACACAGCACTTGGGAAATGGAGGCAGAATGATCAAAAGTTCAAGCTGGAGATCCTAGCAGACAGCCTGAGAGGGTGTGGGTTCTGACCTCCGTCCACCAAGGTGTAGTGGCTCTGATCTCAGCAGACCACCAGAGAGTGCAGAGCTCTGGCCTCCCTCTGGCCCCTCTCTGACAGAGGGGCTGAGAATGCAAGGGACTGCCTGACAGCCCCCATCCTGCCTCTGGGAGGTGGTGAGCTTCCCCTAATTGCACCATACCCATCCCCCTACCTGGGATTTTGTGAGGCCCCTCCCAAGGCCCCAGGGCAGATCTGGCTTTGGTAGGCAAAGGCTAAGATCCCTGCAGACAACCTGAGAGGGTAGACTTCCTGAGAGTGCCCAGATCCTGCCTCCACGTGGTGAAGGAAGCCTGAGTACCTGACTGAAACCTGAATTGGGCTTCTGTAGGTACTCCTGAATAGATGATCTGAAGCCATCAGTTCCCTCCAAATTAAACCTGAGAGAACCTGAACCCTGTACCAACCAGCTTTACATAACCAATAAAGAAAGGATCTAGGCACCTGGATAATACAAACAGAAGCATACTTCAACTT